TGATACGGCAGTGTAGCCATGGCAGAACCGCAGCCGGCATCCGGCGGCCTCACCGACGAGGCCGCCCTCAGCTGCTGCTCCGACCGGACCCCTAGCACCAAGGTGGGCGCAGAACCTAATTCTGCCGGTTCGGGCCTCTGCGTGGCGTAGCTGGGGCCCCCGGAGGGAGCTGATTCCTCGGCGCAGCCAAGCTTGGCTTGGGCTGGATGATTAGAACTCTGGCCTCTGCTTGTAGCTCCGCCCGCCTTGGGCGAGCCAGAGAGGGTTGGGACGCGGGCCAGTGGTGTGGGATTTGTGAGGGGATCCATTTCTTCAAGTTTGAAAGACTTCGACCCCACTTGCGTTAACTTTGATTTGGGACGGTATCTGGAAACCTCGGCCAGCCTAGGGTCAGAGCCCTTGTCTGTGGGAATGCGTGTTCCCTCAGAGCAATAGTCGTGACGGGTAAGAAGAGCATTTTGGGAGGTTCTAAAGCCTTTGTATATGTGCCGGCTCCTCCCAGCCTGGGTCGTTTTTCTGTAACTGCCCTGGCTCCGAGTTTAACCTCTCCAAATCAATTTGATTGCATTTGACTTTAAACGCGCCCAGAATTTCGCTTTGGGTTGACTGTTACACGGTCGCTCATGGCACACTTCTGCCCCCCGGTCCCCATGCTTGATGGCCCCAGAAAAGATGACAGAATCTTGGATCTCAGTTCCGCGGGGAATCTTAGAAATTCCTTCCTTCTCATTGCGGCTGATAGCCAATAAGGGGAATGACTGGTTGCATATGAAGGCTTTCATCCCTTCAGCTTGCTTAACGTGTCTGCACTGAGAGTCAGCTTAACTCACTCAGGTGTGGTGCTTCTGTGCGTTGTCAAGATTAGACACAGCAGCCGAGGGGGTGGAGGTGGCGGGGGGTGGGGAGCGGGGGATTACTCCAGTGTACTCATCACTGTCAGTAAACGCCTTTGTATTTATTCATTTGACTGGGGAAGTTCTGAATTCCTTGAAGATTGAGTATGTGCTTTACACAGACCTCCAAGACAGGTGGATGACTTTGGTCCCTAGTCTTTACTTGCTCTTTGCCTTCAGGGTGAAGAGTCAGCACTTATAATTACTAAAGCCTTTGACTAGGATCTGGTAGTACTTAGCTTAAGAAAATGTTAGTCACTGCAGAATTAAGATATAAGAAATAAATATGTACATTTCCTCTCACATTCTTGCTTTTATACTCGCTAATGTTTATACAAGTTGTTTCACATAATGTAGATTGAGTCACTTAGTATAAATTGATTTCACAGATAATTGGGAATTTTATGTACTAGACTATTAAAAAGCATTTCAAGGAGAGCTTTATAAAATTGATTGAATATAGTTTCTTGCATTCTTAATTTGCACTGTGCACAATCTTAATTTCTCTTGATTTGGAGTAATAAATACTTTTTTGAGATTAGTCATTTTGGGTCTTTGAAGCACCATATGGGGGACATTAAATGAAATATGTAATAACAGCTGGTATATGTTGAGTGTGCCAGGCCCTGTTTTT